GTAATTTTAATTGCCAAAGCAAATGTTCTGCTTGTATCATCCCAGATGGATCCAGTGGAACAAAATGGATTCCTCTTCCGAAATGCAGGACCTGGGGTTGTAGTAGGTCACACTCCAACTTGCCAAAGCTCAAGAAAGAGATGACAGCCCTCGGACTTTCAACGCAAGAGATGGCAGCCCTGCAGATCAAGACAAAGCATAAACATCACCATGAACCCCCAGGTAATCCGCCTTCCTGGGGTCAACTTAACAAAGTTGTTAAGACTTTTCAACACCTCCAGGTGTTTCTCATGACTAGTTGGCTGATGGCATTGCTGATGCACTTAAAGGTTTAGACCCCAAGGCTTTTGTTCAAAGTTTCACTCATAGTTTGGGAAGTGCGGCTTTTGTTTTGCTTATCTGTGCTTTGTGATTCACTCTAAAATAACCCTGTCTCAAAAGATGATATTTTTGCAAGCATCAACAAAACACCCTCACCCTACACATCTTCATTAAATATAAAAAGAAAAGGGGAGATGTGGAGAAACAATAGAATCCCAGCCAGGTACGTCTGTGGGATATGATGAGGTCATGATGACCAGAGTGCTAAGCGCTGAGCACACTCGAGCAAACAGCACACAGATAAGGGCCTCCAAGTTCCGCGACCCTTGGCCAGACCTCCCGGGATGAATCTTGAGCAAACTATTTTGGTTCTCCCTAAACCCATAATCTGAACTAAAGAAATGTCCTTCCTGGTGTGGGCAGAGGTGTTTAATGTTCCTCGAAAAACTCACAATGTATAACTTTAATCCTTATCTTTACAATGCATGCCTTATATTGATAATTTATAAATGTCTTAAACATAAATTCTGCCTGCATGATTTAATGCCACATACAGTTTTCACAGATAATTAGCAAAAAGTCAAAATAAGATCTATGGTGAAATGTGAAATGTATGTCATGTTTAGAATGCCTTCTGTATTGTCTAATGCTCAAAAGATGCAAATGAAAACCCTTGAAAAATAAATATCCCAGAGATACACACTTATTCATTATCTAATTTTGAAATCCATTTCCCTGAAATACTATTTATCTTTACATAGTGTAAGACAGAGACAAATATGAATTGTACAGAGATCACAACTCTGAAAATCACTGTGTACCTGCTTGATTCCTTGTTTCCTAGGATGATGCATTCCTCTTCTTTTTTTTTTATTATCTAGAAAAAATAAGGCAAGTCATATATATATGTTTATCTAAATCAATCATAACATTAATTTCTTATATTGAAAATCGTTATATTGCTCAGGATTACAATTATCTGGAGTAAAATTAATTTCACAAGGATCCTGAATAAAGTAAGGAACAATTGGGAAAAAAAATATATTTCAAAGGTATAAAGGACCAGACTTTTACCAAGTCTTAGTTTCACCAGTCTCCTGAATTAATTCTTAATATTCAATGAGTGATTTCAGCCTTCTAAAGATTGTTTTTGAATTGTGAAATTATTTTTAGTTTGGACAAATTCAGAAGAATCATTCCACATTTATTCAAGTGCAATCATTAAAATGAGAGTTCTTTTCCTTAATATGAAATACTTAAAGACACAGATGATCACTGAAGTGAACAGTTCCCGTATATTTCAAAAATTTACTTACAGGAAATAGCGATCATTAACAGAATAATACTAATAATGCATATCAACACTAGGCAGATGAGCGCCAGGAACTTTTCAATGAACATAGCTGTTTGCACTGGTAAGTCTGCAGCAAGAGAAATGGAAATTGAGAAAGGACAGGTAGAGACAGTTATTCAGACATGCTACAAACTACAGAATCTACATGAACAGTGAGTCAGGTACATAAATTTGTACACAAGCCCTCTACCTCTACCTCTACTGGAGATAGAAGTCTACTGCCTAGATTAAGATGTATTTAAAATATAAATTGTATTTTGAAATAATTTACATTTTGTCATTGTTGACAAATATTTCTGCACCAGCTTTATCATACTAGAAAACATTTAAAGAATCTTTATAAAAGTTGATGTTGTTCTGAATATCTATGGTGGTTTCTAAATTTCAGTTCGTCTATTGCTTTAGAGTAGAATGATCCTGAGTAAAATTGATTTAGGAAGAAAAGTTAAAAATCATAAACAATTTGGATAAATTAAAACATAAGTAGTTAATTCACCACTTACAAGGTACTTACTTTAACATATCACAATAATTAATTGATATTTCTTGATATGATATTTTAGTCTCTTAAACATGTTTTTGTAAAAATCAGAATTTATGTATATGCACAATCCTCTAAATACTATTATGATTTTATATATTTATTGAAAATATAAGTATACTTGGTAACACAATTTTATACAATAAATATATTTATGAAAATAACCATTTATTTTCATAAATGTATGCTTTGTAAATTAATACTTTGGACAAATATTGAAAAAAACAACCCATACTTTATTTAAAATCATGCAATAAATCAGAGCTATTTTACAAAATATTATGAACCTGAGAGTCACTGACAATTCTTTTAGAACATTAAACATCCCTTGGATATTTCAGAAATTTTCTTACAAGTCTTGAGAACCATGATTTTTACTATAGTGGACCACAAGACAATCCCCAGGACCTCAACAGCAATCATCCCTGGAGGTGAGGGCGAGTCTGCAGGGAGAGAAATGGAAACACTGAGAAGAGATGAGACGAATGCTGACAGTTTGCAAACCCAAGATCAGCCTGCACAAGGAGTCACATGTGGAAGATTGGAACCCAGACACGCACCCCCATTGTAATCTGGCCGCCAGAAATTATATCTTGTGAGTTGTGTCCAAAGACTCCAACACCCAATAATTCACTCTCGTTTCAGATGAGTGGTATATTCATGTTTTAATCTTCAACTTACACCAGACACCCCAACTGCCCAGCCCAGAACAATTACACGCTTGTCAAGTAAATGTTTTAGCTTTGCAGGCCAGTACTTGTCATTCCCTTGAAAATCCTGAAGAGTATTTTGAAAATTTATGTCCACAGAGATTATCTGTTATTCTGTTGGTGTTCATGCTCTTACCCTTCATTTGCAGCACCCTTGGGTCCAGATTCCGTGCCGGGGAGTTCTCCGTGCGTTAGTTCACTCTTGCAGCTGAGTCGTCTCAGGGACGGTGCTCTGACAGCTGCACGTGAGTCCTTACTAACTGCCCACAGAATGGCCACGGCCCGGCTGCTGTCGTATGGGCAGAGCCTGGAAAGCGATAACCTCATACTGCAGTTGAATCATGAACAAGCCTGAGTAAAATTTCCTTATCGCTTAAAAAACCTTTGCATGATATAAAATAATTTTAAAACTATTATTTTATTTTTCACATGATTCTAGTGGTTGAACAATAGAAGACCAAATGCTAATGTGGAAATTTTACAAGTACTAACATTCACACTAACTTAAAGTCATCACTAACAAAAAAAATTTCAGAAGCTATTAGATTAACTGTTATAATGCTACATAAGAAAAAATGATGTGCTAACTTTAATGATTCAAGATTGAATATTCTAAAGTGTGTTATAGTTGTGTTAGTATGTGTATTAATTTCCTGCTCTAATGACATTTATATAGTGACTTAATTTATTTGTAAAGGGATTAGTGGTTAAAAAATTATATTTTTCTCCAAAGCATGTAGACTTTTAAGAAATCATTAAGATTTCAAGAATATTTACTATGTAAAAAATAACGTGATCCATCAGCATATTGAAATCCTAAACAATATTGACAAGGCACACATTTGGAAATAACATTTACTGTATACATTAATTTAATGAGTGAATGTGAAATATAAGAAAGATAAAATGATAAATTAAAAATCATTTAGGATTATACTATTCATTCAAACATCCAGAGGGATTGTAATTGTATTGATATTGGAATATATCAGATAATTTGATAATGGAATCAATGAGCTCCTCAAAGTGTGGAATCTGAAATTAATTCTCAATTTGAAACATACAAAATTTACATAAGTCACCAACTTGAATTATAAATGTAAAACTAGAATAAAAACACATATGATATTATACATGTAAAACACCTAACATTCAAACTGCCCTTTCTAAAGTTCTCAATGAAAAGTCAAGTTATTTTAATTATTATCTGATATACTGAAGTATTATATACGATTCATATAAAATTAGACCACATAATAGAATTCCTTAGACAGGAGTCTCTTTTGTTAGTATTGTGTATCTTTTACTGTTAGTTGTCATTAAAAAAAAAATGACAGTTTATAAGTAAGTTCAAATTTTATGGAATTACTTAATCTGCATTTGTATGAAAAATTAAATTGGTCTTATTACTATTAAGAAAGTACATTAAGAAAGAAATTATATAAGTAATTACATTTGTTCTTACTGATTAGATGAATTAATTCGAAGAATCTGTGCTTAAAGGCTAGATTAAATCTTAAATGAATTAATTCTAAGAATCTATGTTTAAAGGTTAGGGTACACAATAAATAATATATAGAATTATAAATGTACTGATTGCTAAGTCCAAAATAAACCATTCCATTTCATGATGCTGATGAGATTGCTTGTAAAATTGCTTTGATTTAAAAATAAAATTATCCTTGTATATGTGCACTTGAGTAATATTCCAAAGTAAAGAACTTGACTAAGTTAATCTATAATATGCCTCATAATATGATTATTGTCCCACCTTAAATTATTCAGTAAAGATAGCAGAGTTCTCCGTAATTCCAGTCCCTATCAATGGTTGGATTACACACAGCATTAGTAATCAATGATGGGCAGCAGAGACAGGACAGCAGGAACACCTACCTCCTCTCGCCAAAGAGTGCTGTATCCTCTAGTGGGAGACTTGGTTACAATTGGGAACGGACAAAACAATCTGTGGTTTACACACACTCTCCTGTGAAGGTGCAGAGAGAAGCAACACTGAAAAAAAGTAGATTTCTTGTCTACGTGTCACTTACACTGAACAGGAAATCCCAGCTATTGTGAAGGCAGTTTCTCATCACACACCTCCAAGCAGAGGAGACTGAGCCTGTAGTGTGTTATTTGATTTGTCCATTGAAAATACTGCTAAGAAACTGTGTTCCTATTCTAAAAGATAACAGGGAACAAAACCAACTCATTGTTAAACTGCTTCCATCTCAACCACAAACCCTGAACATTTAAGTCTAGTTAAGAGTATAGTAGATATTTTACTGTTGCACAGTGTTACAAAATCTTGGTGTTAGCTATATTTTTCTTATACTTTCATATGTCCATTCAATTTTAATGGAGCCATTTTAGAAATGGGTTTAGAAACCATAATCCCCTAAGTGATATATATATATATATATATATATATATATATATATATATATATAAAGTATATGTGCCTAATTATTATAAATATTACATTTTCAGCTTTATTATAATAGTCCCATGATCACCAGTTCCTAAATTTTCTTCTCAATTTCTCTGCATTCTGAGACCTTTACTTTGTGAACAGTTGCTTAAATTTCCACGATAAAAATTATCTTTTGGGGGCCTTCCCTGATAGTGCAGTGGGTTAAAAGTCAGCACTGCGAGCTAGCTGCAGTCAGTTCAGTGCCGGTTGGATCCCCAGTGCGGGAGGTGATCCACATGGCGCGTCAGACCTCTCCTGTCTCATTCACTGCTCCCCTCAGCAGAGTATTTCAGTACATCTGCTTCTCTGCTCCTCATTCTGTCCCTGGTGAATCCATTCATCCTCTGCACGTCTGGCCTGTAACCCATGTCTGTATGCATAAATAATAATAAAAAAAAATCTTAAAAAGAAAATTATTTGTTGGAATGATGTTTCCAAATTAGAAAATTATATCACCATCCCAAGATTGAAATATTAAATATATTTTTAATTATTCTTACATTGATTCATCCCCCTAATTACAATATAGTCAACAAATTATTATTCACAAAATGTCTGTACTTTAAAAGGAATATTTGTTGCAAGTATGGCATAATTCCACTGTTACTGTTGAGGGGACAGTCAGTTTTTCTAAGTATCACCTAACCAAAAAATTGAAGGATGGAAGGCAGGATTTTAAAGCACAGATTGACTCCTTAGTCACTCTAGCCAGTATTTAAAGAATTGTAAAATATTTCCAGCTTCAAAGAATATTCTTTAACAGAGTTCAACTAAAATAGAAGTTAGTAAACACAAAAGGAAATCCTTACATCATTTTGAATTCAGTGACATGTCTGTTTATTTTATAAGTCAAAGAAATTATCAGAATTTAGGTTTCCAATGTCATGTGAATTAGAAGGAAAATATCATAGCAATATCATATCTTTTGAATCAAATGTCTTAAATGCACAAATTGCTCACAAAGGAAAAGGTAGAAATCTGAGCATGCATCAGAGACTGAAAAATGTAAAAGTCAAAATTAAGTGAAATTAGTCTAAAACAATGGAAGGAAGAAAACAATAACACAAACAGATGAAAAATATCAAAATTGTTAAAGAGCAT